AGTCCACTGAATAAAGTCAGCAACTTTTGAAAGATGCAAACTCGTATATGTTTTTTGAAAATGGTGTGCTGAGCACAAGAAAGATGTCAAATAATCATTTTCATGGAGATGGGGAAAGGTAGAACTTGCCTACTTTATTAAGAGGAGTGAGCAAGTTGAGCAGTGAATTTGTATACAGGGTCTCACAATCAAAAAAAAGCCAAGTCTGCTTTTTCACCTTCTCTTGCCAAAAAAGTTAGCAGAGACGAGAAGGAGCCATTTTGCCCTAGGGAAGGATAAGCACACAGGAGGATGTTGTGGATTCTGTAAAAAGGATTTAAATATAAAGATTTTTATAAATAAATACATATATACATATATATATAAGGGTATTGTAGTAGAGACACCATGAGAAAACAGGACATTAATCTATAGAACAGTTTGTACTTAGTCCTGGTGACATAGTGATTATGTTTGTGGAAGATAACAGGCTATGTAATCAGTGAGGTCTACTCCTTGAACTTTGTAAACTTCAGCTATGGGGCCATCTAAAATCTGAGTTTATATCTAGCCACTATCAAAACTGGGACTCTCAAGATAGCCTGAGACAGAGGGGAAAAAGATAAGGGACTATAAGCAACTTCAGAAGAGATCTCTATCACTGCTATCTGCCAGCATTGCTTGCTTTTTTTGTTTTCCCTCTTGGTGCTTGTCCAGACATCTCAGGTAAGAAGGGGGCCTTTCAGCTGCCAGGAGTATCAGGTTAGAGAGAAAGTGTTTTGCTCCAAGAGGATTAATTTGAAGTGAGGGATGGGAAAAGTGCTGGGTACAATTTTAAGAAATGTATCAGAAGATTCTGCAATGATAAATCTCTATAGCTTCCCCCTTGTTATGAAAGAGCTATTCTTTTTCAGTGGCTTAGGTGTCATGAGCTTCATATGAAATTCATATAAGATCCGTGTTGTGCTTCAACCGAAATCAGGACTCTGTTTTTCAAAGTTCTTTTCACAAGAACTGCCCAAGGTGGATCAGCCACCAGGAGCTTGCAGTCTAGATACGAGTTTTATCTCACTTTTACAATAAGCATGAGCCAGAGACATATGGATTGGTCATGTGGCTTTTCATGGTGGCTGTAAGCAGCCACTGTGAGTCAGCTGTGGTTTGAATTGCTTAGGAGCTACACAGCTACGCTGGCACCACTCACAAGCTGCTGCAATGTGTCTCAGCCCTCAGCTGGACTCCTGTGCTAAGGATGAGGAAGTAGGTAAGGGAGGCTGCATGGCCACTGGTCAACCCTCTGCCCAGACAGCAGAGTTGGGTCATACCTACTCCAGAAGTCCACATAGACTCTACATAGGGAATAAAAGCTTCAGCCATTCCATAAGAAGCTCTTTAGGCTAAGCTGGTTCTTGGCCTTGTTCTGCTGAGTGTAGTCAGTGGAGAGGTGGAAGTACACTTCACATGGTGATTCACCACCACTGTCACCTTAAAATGGGATTATGCCTCTTTGGAAAGTCTCCTGCAGGAGCTACAGAAAAAACTTCGCTTAGCTGAAGAGGGTAAAAATTAGGAAGAAAATTAACTCTATCCCAGCCAAAACCAGGACAATGGGTAAGTCTCAGCCATCTGAAAATAAACCAGCTCTGACTAATCCTGTAGTTCAATGATCACTTTGTTTGTCTTCAAAAGTCAGTGACAAGGAATAGGGGGTTCCAAAGATTCATCCGTCCCATTGAAGAAGAGTTAACTAGCTGAATAATATGAAGCACTCTTCTGCCTGTGCTATGAGAGCCTGAGTACTTATCCAAAACTAGATGCCAAGCTTTACATGACTTATGTTAGACAAGATGAATCTTACAGTGTTTACCAAATACAAGTTTCAGTGCAGGTAGGGGAAGGGAGGGCAGAATTTGTCCTTTCTTCAAGGTGCCTTGTTTTTAAGACCATCCATTAAGAAGACCACCATATTTTTCTTTTCTACGCTGGCCCACATGAAATCTTATTCTTTAAAAATATAATTTATTGTTACTAATTTCTAACATACTAAGAACAAGGAAAAATTGCCCACTCAAACCTTCACCTTGCTGCTTGCAGTATCTGAGCTACTTCTTTCAAAGCTAGCTTAGGCATTCCTAAGCCACACAGCAATGGAGACATGCCATCACTGCCAGAAGAGAGCCCTGCTGTGCAGTTTCACACTCAAGTCACTTTGATTTCCGTGGGCATATTTCACCCAGCAGGAGTTGCTGGCTGCATCATGGTTTACAAATGTAAGGGATACTGAACAGTGGCCTTTATTCTATTTAATATTTTGTCATCTATTTCTTTGCTCTTCTAAATTATTTGTTCCAAATACGCTTTTCTAGGCAGGATCAGGCAATATTCTCACTGACAGTGAATTCTTTCCATTCTCTTCCTCACCTCTTTTAGTAACTAAGGCAAATTACTTGACTCTCTGCTTTTTTCTTCCTCTCTTCCAATGTCAGCACATCAGTGCTTTCTAGTGCAATGAACTTATAATGGCTTTTTTAAATGGGGCTATTTTTTAGCTCTGCATGGTATTACCACAAAAACAACCACCTGGTATAATTGAATTTGAAACACAGTGCTATGAAATATTTATCCAGTGTCTTCATTTTCTTCAGCATGAGGATTTCCTTGCATTTCTCTGGATAGGTTTGCAGTATTTATTACTATCCTAGTGTTTGGAATACAACCAATGTTAAAATAATAATAAAAAATAAGAAAGTTTTCTTTTTTGCTATCAAACCCATTACATTTAAGCAAGCAAGGCTAGCAGGTGGTTCTCAGAAGATCTCATTAGCCATTTTGATTGTCTCTAACACCTCTTGTAAGCAAATTCCTCATTACCATGGATATTTACATATCCTTTATTTTTGCACAGAGTGCAATACAGCAGTGAGCTATAAACCTGTTACTATGTGTCTTCGCATTTACATGGTAAATATGGTTCCTACTGTGTGGACAGACACTAGCTATCAAAGACAATAAAATCTAATAGTGCTCAATGTGATCTTGATTTCCATTTTTAGTACATTAACTGTATCACAGAACTTTTTAAGCCCCAGTCTTTGAGCCTTTTGGAGACATTCTATTGAATCACAGTACTTGTACAATGAGATCCTCATCTGCCGAAGGAAACAACCTGGGGTAGGAGTGAAAAAAAGAGGAGGAGGGAGAAATTTTAAAGATATTTTTTTTCCAGCTCTTGCAATGGTTGAATGAGCATTTTTCAGTAGTATTGTATTTTTATGGATCTGTCAAAGCTGAAGGTTTTCTTACCTAACAGGGTTGGGATTTTGCATGATTTTTAATTGATATTACATAATCTGATGCTGCATCATTGGATTTGTAAGAAAGATCACCAACTGCTTATTACATGCTGTCATTGTAACATTGTTTGACACTGACACAATTCTTCAAACGCTGTATCACTCAGAACTGCCCTAACCATCACACTTAGTAGTATTTGGTTTAGATTTTTGTGAGAAAAGAGAGAACTTGATTCCCTGCCACCAAAGCTGATAGAGAAAATACAGCAGTTCTAATCCTGTGAACATACATTCTCTAGTGATGCAAATCTGCTACTATCCCCAAAGTTGATAAAGCCCCACACTGGTTTTGGAAGTTGAACAGCCATAACTCATTATACTGTACTTCTGCCGGTCTAAAAGTATGACACTTTGAAGTATTATCTGCTTTCACTGAAGATCTTATTTTGCTTGGCACATATTCAAAGAGAGAGCATATTAGCAGAAAACCCTTAGGAAATACTGGAGCTTGGGTCTTTTAACAGTTGATAAGATTATGTGCTCGATCTCAACAATAAATGCAAATAAGTAGCGGAGATATTTAGATTTAGTTTTTCTTTCTTTTCCTGCTGAGGTAGAAGATGGTTCCCATTTGAGATTCCTTCACTACATCACTTTTTAAAGCATTAGGAAATTTGAGAGATTGCTCTGAGTTTTTCTGTACACTGAATAAGTTTGGATAAGTCTTCTAGGTTTATGAGCTAGTAAGATGCTGATTTACAGAATTACAAAGGGTTTCCTTCTTTGTAGCTAGTCATGACTTTGACACAGTGATCAGAATAAAGCAGGAGCTAAGCTCCTTTGTTGTATTTACTGTAGCACGAGGCCTGATTTTTTCCTGTATCCTAAGAGAAAACAACTCTCATCCACAATCTCATCACCTCTTCTTTCAACATGAATGTAAAAGGAAGTTGGATCTTTACCACTCATATTTGTAGTTCAAAGCTTATTACCTGAAATAACGAGATTATCTGAAATCTCGGAACAGTTTTTAAAGGCCTGATTCTGTCTTTAGCCTATGCAAGTAATCATTAGAGGTTAAAACCATTCTTCTGACATTGTGAGTTTATATTCTCTAGAGCAAAGATTGCAGTAAAGATAGTGAATGGTATTGTAGAAGTACTTTACTAAGGAATCACATTTCTATTCCCAGTTGTGTTTTTTTAAGAAAACAAAAAAACAGGAAAGAGGTGAACTTCCTTCACATACCCCTAAAAATGTCTGTAGGATGAAGCAGAATTTTTTTTTTTGGTTTCCAGTCATCACCCCGAGTCAAATTCCAAAATGCACCAGTACGCAAACTTTGACAAGGATTACAGCTAGCAGAAATTTATAGATTTTAAATCAAAGATGTGATCCATAAATAAAAGAAGGTTTAACTCAGTACTACTGTATAGCAGATTTCATGCTCAAGGGAAAATTTGTTTCTGGTATATGCTGGAGTGATTTAGCTGAGATTAAGGAATGCCATCTCCTATAAGGGTAAAGTCTGTCCAGTATTGTGCCATGCAACTACATGTTTTATGCTATTCCTATGAATGAAAATTATTTTGTTCCAGGGAAAGCTTACTAGAAAATGATACTGTTTATCATTCTAAACAAACGTATTTTTTCATGGATAGAAAAAACAACCAACTATAAAGTGCAATGGATTTCCACTATTAATGTATTTTATCCTTCCTCCTATAGGTTGCCCAGGAATGTGGGACAATATTACATGCTGGAAACCTGCAAGTGTGGGTGAAATAGTCTTTGTCAAGTGTCCTGCGCTGTTCAGATTTATCATCTCTGAAGATGGTAAAGTATTTTCTCGTTCTTTGCCTCTGCCTGGTAAAGCTGCAGGGCCAGCATGAGTGTAAAACCTCACTTTAGATACTCACTATAGAGGGAAATCAAGCTCTACAGAGGTGTGGAGTTAGGCTTTAGTTAAAAAATATACTGTAGAAAACCAGGATGTTTGTGTGTGTGTGTGTGTGTGTGTGTGTGTGTGTGTGTGTGCAGGGGTGGGAAGGAACATGTGAAAAAAGCCTTCACAGACTATACAACATGAAAATAACACCAACTCTAATTTCTAAAGGGGATATTCTTTCCTCCCATCTCCACTGAAATCAATGAGACCCGAAATTGTGTTTGGGTATTGGATAACTAATCCTCACAATTCAAACCTATTTTGGAAAGTAACTAAATCTCAGAGTTGTTTCTGCTCATGCCTAAGGAGAACATAGGCATGAGATGACCAATATGAGGAGGTCCTATACTGGGAGTCAGTGGGAATTAATGATTCTTGGAGAGATGAAAAAAAATCTCTGCATTGTTGCACAGAAATGAGACATCACCATCCTTGCCCCTTGCAGCTGGCATCAGCAAATGAAAGATTAGAAATTTGGGCTGCTTCTGCTTCTAGCATGTATTGCTGCCTAACAGATTTGTCCCTTGTCTTGCAAAAACTACTGCAGATGGTCAGGTAGGTTGATGTGGTTTCTTTTTTCTCTTTCTGCTACCCTCGAAGCTTGGACCAAAAGTCCTATGCGTTCACCGTGCTTGCCATTTAAACCCTATTAGACTCCAGCTCCAATTCTTATAACAACCTAGCTGCTGCTCCCAAATGAGTTGTTACTAAAAGGAGAACCTACCTTAATAGTGGTAATACTATTTTACCTAATGATTAATATTACCTAGTGCTTTTTAGTGGGAAGAATCTCTGTGCAAGCTGCTATTTGCATACTAAAACCCACTTGTCCTTCCTCAGTTTTCTTAACCTTTGAAATGCATGAAAATATGCCAGGTAATGACACTGTATGTAGACAAGTGGAAATAACTTGTTTCCAGCAGCTACATAGAATGATTAGATGTTCTCTCAAAATTCTTTTTTTTTTTTCCCATGGTTTCATGAATTTATTTTCACAGGTGAATGACTGAGGGAGACTAAGTTTTCCCATCAATGTTAGCTAACAACAAGCTTTTGCTGATAATTAACACAGTTTTGTCCATCTCCTCCCAGCACCCATCTAGGCTACTGCAGATCACTTACTTATGACTGCTCATTGAGGAGCAAATTCATCAGTGTCCCCGAGGATCCTTTCTTCCCAAAGTTTATTTTACCAATAAATTATTCATTTACAGTCTTTTATCCAAAATCCACCCTCTCTGCATTGCAACACACAGAGAGCAATTTGTGGGAGACAGTGTTTCATATGCAGCTCCAGGAATGCTGAAATCCTCAGCTTTAAATACATCCATTTGAACTATCCAGATACTAAACCAAGTGAAAATGATCTTTTGAAATGGAATTTAAGGGTAATCATCTCCTCACCTAAACTGACCTATGTAAAACTTGAGGCTTTTCTCCATATGAGTCCTCTAGACTCCATCTGTAGTCAGTGGAGAGTAAGAGACCCACAGAAGGCAATTCATGTTATTCTAAAAGACCCAAGGTGAATCATAACTTGGAGATACCTCTCTTTATCCAGCAAGTACTAAGGGCAATTCACTCAAACTAGGCACCTAAATTTTGAATGGGGAAAGATAAGTCCCTCTTTAAATTATCAGGTATAAAAATGTAATTACTCCTGTAATTTTATGTGCTTCAATTATAGCCAATATAATGAAGCATAATCTTTACTGCTCTAATACTAGTTCAGGATTGACTCAGTGGGTAAATGCCACTTACTGAGCCATGTATGTTTAGGGATAATAGAAAAGACAGGATATCAGCATCCAGTAGGGTTTGTATCTGGCGTGGGTAACAAAATATTCTTCCCTCTTTAAAGTGCTTTTTTTTCCTTTTTTTTTTTTTTTTTGGTTGGGCTTATTTTTTTTCAGTTCTCCATGACTTTATAATTGATTTTTGTTGACTACTTGTCATTCAGCCTTATTGTTAAACCAATTCTAGTGACCCTTTGCACAGGATATGCACTCAACCAAAAGTTTTCAGTATCTAGTTATCAGTGACACTTTCAGCCTGCAGGCAAAGTACTTTTATGTTATTTATTGAGCATCAGCAGATGGCTGATGCATTATTATCTTCTGACATAACTGCAGGAGGCCTGTTGCTCAAGATAAGCTGAATTTCTATTAGGACCCCTCTTTTTCCGTGGCTTGTAATCTGCACCCCCTACATGCCCTCAAGCTGCATTGTGCTAACATATAACATACCCCTTTTCCCTCTCTGCCTGTTTTGGGTGCAATGCTCAGAGATACTGCTAGTTTGATACTATGGAGAGAGGTGTTGTGTACATCTACAGCACAGGAAATGTTCCATTTGCCAACCTGTCAACACACATGGACCCTTTAACTGTTCTTTATTTCAGGGGATATTTCTGCTGCTTCTATTTATATCCAACACAAATATGTTAACTTTTCATTTTTAATGATGAAATTTATTTTCTATGGTGCTATCATTTCTGAAGTAACTAAGGCTAGGAGGGCTCTTGAGAAGTCATAGAATCACAGAATAGTGTAGGTTGCAAGGGACCTTTAAAAATCATCTAGTCCAACCCCTTGCAATGAGCAGGGGTACCTTCAACTAGATCAGGTTGCTCAGAACCCTGTCCATCCTGACCTTAAATGTTTCCAGGGATGGGGCATCTACTACCTCCATGGGCAATCCATTCCAGTGTTTCACCACTCCCATTGTAAAATAATTCTTCCTATATCTGGCCTAAATCTACTGTCTCTTAGATTAAAACCATTACCCCTTGTCCTATCACTACACCCCCTTCGAAAAAGTTTGGCCCCATCTTTCTTAAAAGCCCCCTTTAAGTGTTGAAAGGCTGCAATAAGGTCTCCCTGAAGCCTTCTCTTTTCCAGGCTGAACAACCCCAACTCTTTTCAGTTTTTCCTCTTAGGAGAGGTGTTCCATCTCTCTGATCATTTTGGTGGCCCTCCTCTGGACCCACTGCCACATGGACATGTCTTCCTTGTGCTGAGGACTCCAGAGCTGGACACAGTACCCTAGGTGGGGTCCCACCAGAGCAGAGCAGAGGGGGACAATCATCTCTCTTGACCTTCTGACCACACCTGTTTTGATGCCCAGGATACAGGTGGCATTTCAGACTGAAAGTGCACTTGATTCCACTATGTCGTTGGTGAAGATATTGAAAAGTACTGGTCTCAATATTGACCTCTAAGGGACACTAGTAAGCAGCCTCCATCTGGACATTCAGCTGTTGACCTCTACCTTCCAGATATGATCATTCAGCTAAGTCCTCAGCCACCAAGCAGTTCTTTCATCAAATACCTCTCCAATTTAGAGAGAAGGATGTTGTGGGGAACCACGTCAAAGGCCTTACAGAAGTCCAGATAGATGACATGTCTAGCTCTTCCCCTGTCTGCTGGTGTACACTCCACCATAGAAGGACACTAGGTTGGTCAAGCAAGACTTTCTTGGTAAGGCCATGCTGGCTGTGTTGAATAAACTCCCAGTCCCCCATGTGCCTTAGCATAGCTTCTAGGAGGATCTGTTCCATGATCTTGCCTGACACAGAGGTGAGGCTGACAGGTTGGTAGATCCCAGGGTCCTCCTTTCTAGTCTTTTTAAAAATGTGTGTGATACTGCCCTTTTTCCAGTCACCGGGGACTTTACCTGACCACCATGTCTTTTCAAATATCATGAAGAATGGCTTGGCAACTGCACCAGCCAGTTCCCTCAGGGCTCTGGGATGCATCTCATCAGGTACAATAGACTAATGGCTCCTCATGTGGTCTTCAACCTGATCTGCTCTTGGAGACGTGAGAGGGACTTTGCTCCTCCAGTCCTTGTCTTGCCATCTGTCCACTTGAGAGGTATGGGAGGAGAGGCTGCCAGTGAATACTGTGGCAAAAATGTTGTTCAGTACCACAGGCTTTCACTCCTCCATTGTTACGAGTTTGCCAGTTATGCTCATCACGGGGGTACGCTTTCTTTGACCTTCCTTTTCTGGCCGACATACCTGTAGAAACTCTTATTATTTTTTGCATCCCTTGCCAAATTCAGCTCCAGCTGTTCCTTGGCCTTCCTGACCCCATCCCTACACAACCGGGCAGCATCCCTATGCCCTTCCCAGGATACCTGTTCCTGCTTCCACTGTGTGTCCATTTCCTTCTTGCTCTTTAGTTTGACTCAGCCATGCCAGCCTCTTTCCACCTTTACCTGATTTCTTACATGGGGATCACAAGCTCCTGTGGCTCTGTGGAAAGTGTCCTTAAAGATCTGCTAGCTCTTTTTGCTCCCTTATCCCTAATGGCAGTTTCCCAGGAGGTCCTATTGACTAATTCCTTGAACAGCTGGAATTTTGCTTTCCTAGACTTCCCACTCCTGATGTTACTCTCTGCCTGACCCATATCCCTTAGGACTACAAACACCACTAGTGCGTGATCACTGCAGGCCAGCCTGCCTCCAATCTTGATGTCACTGACGTCAGCTAACCCATCTCCTTCATTGAAGATGAGGTTAGCCTGATACAATCTGTTCCAGTGTTTAACTAATCAGCTACCTGTTAAGAGGAAAGACTTCTATCCTTTTTTTTAATAAAAAGTAATATGTTTTATAAAAAGAATTAAAAAAAAAAACAAACCCATAACGAGATATTTATAAAATAACATTTTAAAATTATTTTCTTAGAGACTACAGACCTGTTCACATTCTGTATTTTAGATTTGACCTGTATCAGTGTGATAGTATGACCCTAAGGGAGGAGTAGTCAGTCCAGTGTAAACATATGTACTGCTTTATTTATCTCCTTACAGGATCACTAACAAAAGTGACAGCTGTTACCTCTTGTAGTGATGGGTTTGAGGGGGTTTCAGACATCTGTTCA